AGCAGTGGAATCCAGGACGCGCGTTTCGTCCTATTTGGGACTCGTCAGCTGGATGTACCTGCATCTCAGAGTTGATGTTCACTCTGGGACTCGTGCTTGTGAATCAAGGCTATATCGAGGCAATACGCACAGTATGCACATATGCCAATTAGAGACTGACCAGTTGCAGTCCTAACACATCGATGGGAAGATTCAAACAAACAATACTGTGACCAATATAGCGTTTAAGATTTTCTCAAGTGGGAAGTACGAAATGAAGGTGAAAAGAGCGCTTTTAGCGTGAAAAAAAAGAAATTCAAAATTACAAAAATAAGGTACTTAACCAAGTGAGTTCTGGGGATCTAAAATCCCCAACAGAATGAATAGATTGATTACAGACTTCTAAAATATTGAATTGAGAAAACTTAATACATTCAATAGAACAATATCTTAAATGACTAATGAATGAAAGGGAAAAGTTTGTAGAGATTGTAGTAATTTGAATAGTTGAATTCATCAGTCGATCTAAGCTAAACCACCATGGAAAACCCGCAAACACTGGATGGTCACTTCGTTCTAGTATGGGACTCTTCAGTAATGCATGTCCATCAATTATTTCCCAAAATTTATGATTATTAAATTTAAAGACTCTCAATTCCTTTATAATTTTTTTTGGAATCAATTTTTTCATTATACAATTAATAGACCGATGAACTTAGTTACTTACGTCTGTTATCCCTCGTAAAGAAACATAGGCCGCACACCAATATTCTCCATCTAACCCTGTCTTGGGCAATCCTTTCCAGTTCTTTCCAGTTAACATTCATCTTTTTCATATATGCTTCTATTTCCTGGAGCAATGTGTTCTTTAACCTTCCTCTTTTCTGGTTCCATTTTGGATTCCAAGTTAGGGCTTGTCTCGTGATGCAGTTTAATGATTTCCTTAATGTATGTCCTATCCACATCCAACGTCTTTTCTTAATTTTCTCTTCAACTGGAAGCTAGTTTGTCCTCTCCCACATAAAACGCTGTCGCCAATGGTATCCGGTCAATGTCTATTAATAAAGTGTTGCACATTAAATTCAATACTTCAATAGGTCAATTCTGTTATAGCTTCAATGAACTTTAGAATATAATGAATAGAAATACAGTATTTAGAGAAAAAAAAACTTATATTTCCATAATGAATGTTATTTCTTTAATTTCACTCAGCATTACTTGTTTGCACCCCATTGTACAAATAAGTGGCTATCAGGACTCAGTAGTAAAGTGGATAACAAGATGGCGTTTGAAGTAAAAGGTACTGGGTTTAAGTTCCTCCCAGATTGAACATCAACAAGTCTGAGATGTAGGTACATCCAGCTGATGAGTCCATAACAGGGCGAAACGTGTGTCAAACTGGATTCCACTGCTAGCCACTATTCATCTTTGGTTAGAATAAAGCAGTCAATCCATTTTTTTTCTTACTTTTACTATCCTTAATTATAGGGTTTATTTTATTTTCACTGATTTTTCAATCGATTAATTATTTATGGTTAGTGGCTTTCTTATTTTTCTGTTTAGAGAAAGAGAAGAAAGTTCCATAGTCTATAACAGACACAAGAATCCTTCTTTTTTTTAAAAAAATTTGTCTATTATGGTGTAATGCATTCAGTATTCAACTCTCTCTCTCTCACTCACTCGCTCTCTTTCCATCACTCCTTAGCCTCTTGTTATCTATATGGTGGTACATTAAGCTACATTTTAAATATGCCTATTAGTTTTGGGTCAATAGGTCATTATTTATGAATGAATTAAGCATGATGAGTTTAGTCAGATAATGGATATATATATATATATGCGTATATACATACATAAACACGTATATATATAGGGAGATAGAGAAAGGGTGACTATGTAGACATCCAATAGTTTACCATTGTCTAACTATAATAAACAGAAGACATTACTGTCAACTACAAATGTAGTTTACTTTTAAGTTTCTACAAAATCCATAAATACGCTTAAATAGAACGAGTGAGAGAACGATAAAGAGACAGAGAGACAGAGAGAGAGCGAGAGAGTAAGGAGAGCAAGACCAAGTTGATAAAGATTTGTTTACTCTATATCTGTGATGGTTATCATCATCATTATTTCTTATCTATTACATTCCCAATCTATACATTAGCTCTATATACTAGATCATGAGAAAATTGATTTCCGTTTTTTTTTTGGGGGAGGGAGGAGGGGAGGAAATTGCTAAATGATGTTGCATTAACCTTGTATTAATCGAGTAAATTCTGTTTTACCAAAAAAAAAAGATTGTTCATGGTTGACCTATTTTACATTTTGTAACCTTCCCCTTCAACATCATCATATGTATATGTATAAATGATTTCCTATTGACTTTAAATGACCAATTTCATGATTGAATGAATGCATGATGTACTGTATATAATGGTAGTTGAGGTGTTAAAAGATTATCCATTTACAGGAAGAAACTAGATAGATGAAAGGTAGAAGAAAAAGCTTTTAAACTAATTGATTTCATACAGACGAATGATTGGAATAATGATTATTTAATGATTGAATCTATGAGTCGATTAAGGTTAGACCACCATGGAAAATTTGAAAGCAATTGACTGCCGTTTTGTCGTAGTATGGGACTCCTCAGTAGTGCACATCTATGATCCAACATCAAAGGGATTCAAACCTACCACATTCAATTACACTTTTCTTTAATTAGTTACTATCTCATAATAGACAATGGTGGAAAGTGGCGCAATTTCGTGGATTGGTTAAAGTTAGACATTAACACTGTTGGATATCGGTCCAGTGGTCTAGAGGTTGAGCATTCTAGCGCGAGACCGATAGGTCCTGATTTTAAATCCCGCGAGTGGAGATCTTGCATGTGCATTACTAAGAAGTCCCATACTATGACGAAACAGCCATCCAGTGTTTCCAGGTTTTCCATGGTGGTTCAAGCACTTAACGTTAGGTTCCATAGTTAGAATCTTGTCATAATTGTATTCTTGAAATCTAAACAATATTTATAACCAAAGATGGATATTGTGGCTAGCAGTGGAATCTAGTTTTGACGCACGTTTCGTCCTATTTCGGACTCGTCAGTTGGATGTACCTGCATCTCAGACATGTTGATGTCTATTCTAGGACTCGAACCCAGTATCTAATAAAGCACTTAACATTAAATTCCATAGTTAGAATCTTGACATAATTATATTCTTTAAATCTAAACAATATTGATGATTATGATTGACATTATCATTTGTAGTATCAGTTTATATGTTACATATTGTTAACAATAGGAATATAGACTTTTGATATTCATTTGTCGGAATTATACTACTTATATGTCAAGTTGTATATCTATATATAGTTTATATAATGATATATACAATATAAATTATTATCTATTTTATACATAAATAAGTATTATATTACATCTATGGTTTTATTTCATTGTTATGTCTCATTTAATCATAATAAGAACGATCTAAAAGTTAAAGATAGGTTAGTTATTACGATTCATTCTATTATTTAGGGTGATAGTTATTCAATGATTACATAATTTTTATATAAATAAATGCCCTGGTACGGCTGAGAGTGGGGAGAGTCGACTGTCCATCTTGAAATGCTCTCACATGACCATGTGTATATAACCTCTACCAGGAAAGTCCTATTCACTGCCTTCTTGTGGCATTATTGTTGTTTACGAAATTGAGAGGATGAAAAGAGAATGTCCGGCGCTTTAACTGGGTTGGTGGACATGGAGGGTTCATCTAGGGGAGTTGGAAAACCCTCATTCCAAACCAATGATCCACATGGGTTCCAGTATCGTGAGGGAACAAATGGTGTATGAATCAATCGTTGGTCACCAGCTACCATGTGACTGTATCTCATCACGATACTTTACTGCCTTGTGGATCAGATTTTTAGGTCAAGGGCTCCAGGTATGGCCCCCTAAGAAATCCACCGGCTTCAGTTTGGGCACCTGAGCAGTATCACAGCCCTGACATAAATCAAATAAGATTTGTGTGGCGCATCTATATCTGGTGCTTCCTTGTACCAATATTTATGTGTTTAAATAAATAATAAATATAAACAAAGATGGATGATGGCTAGTAGTGGAATCCAAGATTCGTCTTTCATTCTAGTTGGATGTACCTTCATCCAAGAGTTGATATTCATTCTGGAATGCACATATGACATTATGAGATTGATCAATTACAGTGCTAAACATCAATGAGAAGATTCGAACAAACAATACTCAATGAATTTAAACTTCAACCATTGCACAAGTAGATGGCTATGTGGACTCAGTAGCTAAGTGAATAACGTGATGGCATTTGAAGCGAACGGTACTGGGTTCGAGTCACAGATTGAACATCAACTCTGAGATGCATGTAGGACGAAACGCAAACGAACAATACAAGACGAATTAATTCTTTATATAGTTATGAAATACTACTAAGCATTAGGTAATTCTTCAGTAGTAATATGTTACGCTGTGATACAGGCTGACACGAGTTCGTATTCCTCAGGGAGCATTGCTTTGTTTGAGCTTTTAGGTACACTTTGTTGAAGAGCTCCAAGTACCACGTAACCTCCGTCAAGCAGAGCTTCCTATTAAAGACTTTCAACCACCGAGCTTAGATTTTTTTCAATCCTTATATGTTGATTAATTTGATCTAATATCACTCCTCGCTCCATATATAATTCCTCAAAAAAGGACTTCAAAATTCTTCATCATATATTTGCCTACAGAAATGGATAACACGGTTTGGAATCTGTAAAGAGACGTCAGTTCCATCAAGCTTACTTATTACTGTTGAAGCCATAAATCAAAAGTATTCTTCCCGAATGTATCTATTTGAGCAGCTGGGGGTACAACTGTTGAGATTAACCAAGTAAATGTCCATAATAATAATAATAATAATAATAATAATAATAATCAGAGTCTTTCGTTCTTTATCAACATTCATCTTTGATTGTTTGTTCTTTTTTGTATTTTTTAAAAATAGTTATTTGCCCAACATATTCGTCGTAATGTTCTACGTGTATTCAGTGATGCATCAAATTCTGTTATCAGTCAACAATTAGGAGATTTATGGCGTACTGTTCCAAGAAGTTGTCGTAATCAATATGATGATGAAGCGAATAGATTAGTAAAAATTCATCAAATTGAATTTCCTAACTATAAATATCAACCTAAAAAACGTCAAATCACATCATCATCATCATCTGCAGCAGCAGCAGCAGCAGCAGCGGCAGCAACATCAACAACAACAGCTACAACTACTGCTAATACATCCAGAAGTAGTAATGATCATATACGTATGTTTAATTCAAATTCAAATCATCTCCATAACCCTACACACACTCATACCCAATCATCTATATCCATGAATCATATACGAGAGGATCAATCCATAATATCAAACAAGTTATTATCATCAACCCATTTACTTAAAACGAATACAGACTACAATGTTGTTTCTTCTTCTTCTTCTTCTCCTTCTACTTCTTCTTCGTCTCCTTCTTCTTCTTCCTCAAATGGAACAAATAAACTACCAATTTTATCTAATCGTCATTGTTCCATCCCTGGTATATCATCATCTATGAATAGTTCTGTTATTAGAAAACAATTAACTAATGTTCAAGATGTCAATAGTCAACAACACAATGGTAGTAATGAATTCATGAATAGTTTTAGTCCATCAAAGGTAGTATGTAATACAATTTATACTAAATTAGAACCAAAATCATTGAGTGTGAGTATCATTAATACTACTAATGCTACGACTACTACTACGAATAACAATACTACTAATAGTAGTCAAACATTATCATTTAAACCAACTATACATAGTTTATCATCAGTGTTACCACCTCTTTTAACTTTATCATCAAATCATCATCCACATAATCCAAATCATCCACATCCACATCATCATCAACATCATCATCAAACAACTGGATTAATGAATGAACAATATTCATTTAGTATATGTGATTCAGCTTATGCATCTGGTATTAATAGTTCATCATCATCATCAGCATCATCACCAGCTGTAGGTGAATTAATTTCACCAGCAAAATCATATTCATCAACATTTTCATCAACATCATCATCATCTACTGTCAATATAAAACAAAATAAACATTCACCAATACGACGTAAAATTCATTTTATTCCAATTCGACCACAATCACAACAATTATTACCAGTAGGGAATCAACCGACACGTCAACGTTTTCTATCTGCAAATAATGGTACTACTACTACTGGTACTGGTACTGCTGCTGTTGGTGCTAGTACTAATCCTAATCATAGTCATCTATCAACTATTGGTAATAGTTGTCTTCAAATGAATAGTTTACAATTCAAGTCGAACTCTGAAAATCTTGTCCTACTTTCAAGAATGACGAATGATTTACATGCTGAACAAAGAGAAGAATTGATGAATGAAACTATTGTACTTCAAGATAATAACAATCATGAAATGTTAACCACCGATATTCTAACACCAGTTTACATTCAATTAGATCATGAAGGACATAGTTCTCCTACTGAAGGTTTAATGTTAACATTACCACCTGGTACAACATTGATTCAAACAAATAATGATCATATTCATCGTAGTATTCCATCAAAAAGATTTTATATTACTAATGGTAATCGGATTATACCAGCTATATCCAAATCTGTTCAAATTTTACAACCATTAAAAGTAATGAATGTGATACATCATCATCATCATAATCCAAATCATTCATCATCATCGACATCCTCATCGTCATCCGCAGCAACAGCGGCAGCCTCAGTAGCATATCCAGATCCTATTCTATATAGTCCTATAATGAGTAGTTCCGAATTATTATCATCTTCATCATCATATAGTTGTAATTCATCACCGAATTCAATTGTATCACCATTATCTGGTGATGTATTTTTACCAATGCAACAAGTTGAATTAATGCCAAATTCATATGAACAACAATCATCTTGTATGGATATATATCAATTTGATGGACAAAATCAATTAGATATGTGTATAGAAGAAGAAGAAGAAGAACTAGTAAGAGGAATAGGAGGAGGATTAGTAGAAGAAGGAGAATACATGATTGATGAAAGAAAAATGACACATATTCATGCTAAGAATTTAGATACTATAACAAATATTATTAGTATAGATGAATGTATGGATAGTGTAAATAATGATTCAGGTATTCTACATAATTGGTCATCAAATGGATCAATCATTGAAAAGTCAATTACATCATCCTCATCGTCATTACCACTAACAGCAACAACAACAACAACGATCACTGTGGATAATGATGATGATGATAATGATAATAATGAGCATGGTGAGTCTATAGGTGCTATAAATCGACATCTACCATTAACTATTGATATTATGAAATCAACAAATGAAAATTTAATCACCTTATCATCGACATCTTCATCAACGATTACGACATTAAATCCTCCGCTTAATCATCATCATCATCATCATCAACATCATCTTCATCATAGTAACATCTCTATTGATAATGATTTAACCGATACTGATTTCTCTATTACAAATGATAATGATAATTTTGATTCAAGTTTTGATGCAATGATGAATTCTATTGATATAACAACTTTTTTACCTGGTACATTTCAAACAAATGAAGAACAAGATCAATCTATACATAATGATTATAATGATGTCCAATTGAATACATATAATAATGAAACGAACAATGATCATCATCATGAATTCATGAAAATGGATGAATTCGATGGATCATGTCATCATATCATCAATGATGTCATGACAACAACAACAGCGGTAACAACGACGCCCACAGCAACATCTTCATCATCATCATTTATGAATAAGTCAACGAATTCACAAGTATACAATGTTGTTAAATCTGATATTGATTATAATAATAGTCATCATCAACATCAACATTATTTAGGGAATACAATGAATATGAATCATGAAAATCGTACAGTACGTATTATTTCACCATTACAAAAAGTTGCTAAGCAATCATCATCATTATCATCATCACTTACCTATTCACATCCAACGTCATCATCATCTTCATCATCATTATTACAAGGAACCCAATGTTCCACTTCTTTATTATCATCGTCATCGTCATCATCGTCTTCTTCATCGGTATTAAGAATGAATTCATTACATGAATTATTAAATAATTCACCACAAATTTGTTCATCATCAACATTAGCAGATTTGGATTCATTAGATAAATCTACTTTATTTATTATTAAACCAGAATGGTCTGTATTAGCTTAACAACAACATCAACAACACCAACACCACCACCAACAACAGTAACCATAATCATAAGACTATTGAACATTGATTCGTTAAACCTTGTACATTGAATCTATTCCCTCTCTCTCTCTCTCTCTCTTCTTTTTTATTGTTTATCTTGGCATATCCTAGTTGTATAACTCAGGTGGTTTTTCTCAGTTACATTTTATTATTATTTTTTTTTTGGTTTTTTTTCTACTTTGCTTTTTTTTGTAATTTTCCAACAACAACAAAAATAGTTTTTTGTTTAAAACACAAAACAGGTAAAATATACGATTTTGTTTCCCCTACACAACCCCCCTCCTCCTCGTCGTCCCCCCTCCCACCCTCAATAAATTATATATTTAATATTCTTAATATTGTTGACAAGTTACATTGGATTAAAGCATTTAAACAAATAAATAAACAATCGTCATGGATCTTATTGAATATTGATGAATATGTTACCCACGGATAAAAAGGGATCATCATCATCATCATCATCATAATATGTGCATTAAATATTTGTACATATGAAATCTCAATCAATCAATCATTCGATCAATATTTTGTTGCCATGCATTATCTTCTATTTTCAGGTTGTATATAACACGTATTCTCTCCTTGTGCTTTCTTTATATTCAATAATAAAATCAATTTTTTTTCTGTTATGGGAATTACATTACTACTATTATTAGTAGTATAAATACTATTTAAAAGTTGGATGCATCGTTGGGGGGTGATGGTTATATAATATATATCCATAGTATTTGCTTAACAGTTTTCTTTTTCTTCTGTTTTTTTTTACCTTGGCATTATTACCCTTGATAAACATTGAGATTTAAGTGATTCACTGAACATCTCAGGACTGTTTTAATTTTTTTCTAATGTACGAAGAGATTTTTCTCTTTTTTTTGTTTTTTTTTTTAAAAAAAATGCTTTACTACGTACATACATGCATAGTAACAACATTACTCAATCTTCCCCCTCTCTCTCTCTCTCTGTTTCCGTCTGTCTCTGGTCAGTTTTTATGACAGCCTTATATATAATCAAACCTTATAGTATTGATCGACTATAGTAATCATCAACATGATTGTTTCAGCTTATTCAGTTCCCTTTTTTTTCGTTTTTTTTTTTGGACAGGGATTCTATTTTTCTCTTCTTCTTTTTGTAATATGTACAGTATTAAGTCTATTCTCTTATAATAATATTGACTAGTCAGGTAATTGATTGAAATCAAGTATTCTTCATCAGTGTCGGCGGGAAACAAATTTTTTCCATTTATTGATTCATTCATAGTCTCAGGTGACTTGGTTACTAATATTATTATTATTATTATTTATTTATTATTATGTAATACTTATCTACTTATTTGTACTTCTAATAAGACTTCTTTAATCAATAATTATTTTTGAAAGCTTTTTTAGAAATGGAAGTGTATTCCAAATTTGATTGCTTGACAACTATTATTATTATTATTATTTTGTGTATGTTTCTATGCGTATGGTTCCATATTCTTTTTATTATCATTAGTAGTAGTAGTAGTAGTAGTAGTATATCATTTTATTGGAATATAGAAAGTCAATCGATTGATCAATCCCACCCCCTCTTCTTCTTAAATTCAACTATACACAGAATAGACAAATCGATCGATTGATCAATCAATCGCCTCATCCCCTTCTTCTTAATTCAGCTATACACTTATGTATCAGAATGTATTAACAACAAAACACGTTTCATTCAGGGCTATTATTATAATGATCTATTCAATAATCCTTCTTATTGTGGATGATCATTTCTTTATTGGCTTTCACTGTTGATTCTTTTATTCTTTAAAAAAAAAAAAGGGAGTATAAGCTTCATATGACAATTATCTTGTTTATTATTGTTGCTAGTGAAGTATTGATTATGAGGATTCTAGTTTTATTACTGCTGAAGTTGACAATCATGATGTTGATGTTGATTATACGAATTATACTACTTATATACTACTTATATCATTTGTTATATACATATAATAACAAACATTGTAATATTTTATGAATTGCCTTTTTTTTTCTAAATCAAATGGAAAAAAAATATATAAACTTTTCAATTGATCTATTCTGGTTCTACTTTCTGTTTCATGTTGTGCTGATGATGATGTCGTTCAGAAGGTGAGATCAGAGGTGCGACTTAACTATCTAGTTCAAAGAATAAAACTTTATAGAAATCATTCATCTGAGGTATGAATATTCTCCACTATCTCGGGAGTGTTTCAGTTGTTATTAAGTTTCAAGTATACTTATGAAATATAAAACTGTAAAGTATATGTCAGTCAATCAATCACAACATAGAACTTCGTACGTACGTACATCAGTTCGAGCTGCCATACCACATTAGCACAAAGATGCAGTTGTCGATTCAAATAGAAGTAGTAAGAGTATAAGCAATAATCGGAAATATTAGGGTTTGAAGATGTTTTTCAATGAGTATTATCCAGTGAAATAAATTTGGAAAGAGAAAAAGATAGAGACATGAAGAATTCAGAAGATTAGAATTTGTTAGAACACGAAGAGTGGATGCACCTTCGCCATGGCAAATAATTTTGAACCATGTCATTGAAGATCTCTAACCATTGGTTGTTATCATCTCACGGATCTCAAACAGATAGTCTACAACTGCCAACATGACTAAATCCACTTGTCAGTGACTTGATGGATTTGTACCACGTTTTGGTTTGGCCACCTCTAGCTTTCTTCCAACCTACTCCTACACCATAAAACATCGCAAATCGGGACAGTCGGTGGTTGGTTGGGAATACATAACACGTGTCCGAGCCATCTCAACTGATGAAATTTCACTACTACATCAGTCGATTTGCTATCCTTACCTAGTACCCGTTTCTTAATTATGTTTAACAACGTTTGAGTTAATTGACTTTGTGATTATATCAGTGATCATCAGGAAGGCTAAAGACTCTGAGTTCCACTCTTGGGGTGGTTATGGGTACTTACTGTTCAGTGGTAACATACTAGGACAATGTATTTGTTTTGTTCTCCATGATCTTTATTGGTACTTCAAATAATATCAATCTGTAATGAATATAACATATGAATATGCAGATATATGTAAATTGATAATGAATTAGTGTATATTACTTATGACTCGAATGTATATAGTTTAGTGAACCTTTGTAACCTTTGTAACTGGATTCTCGTGTTCACAATTCAGAAACCGAATTCAAGTACATTGAATATAATCTGAAGCTATCTTATTGAAGCTAAATGAAAGTAATACTTGTAAAGACTTCCGGAAATTTAAACAGTTGAAGTTTGAAGAGAACGGAACTGAGTTTGAGTCCTAGAATGAACACCAACTCTGAGGTGCAGGTTCATCTAACTGACGAGTCCCAAATAGGACGAAACGCGCATCCTGGACTCGTAGCCACTATCCATCTTTGTTTAGAATGCATGTGAATTAAGGTAATATCGAGGCAATGTGTATAGTATGCACATATGCCATTAAGAGACTGATCGATTGCAGTCCTAACACATCAATTGGAAGATTGAAGTAAACAATATCAAGTAAATTAAACAAAAGTTTAGTTCCACTGAACTTCCTTTTTTCTTCTTTTAGGCCCATTGACTATGAGTTTGCTAATTCAGTTACTACGTACGATAGGTTACTGACTATGAATGACCATAATTTACTCAGTTACGCCTGTTAAACATCGTGGAGGAGCATAGACCACACACCAACATTCTCCATCCAACTCTGTCCTGAACAATCCTTTCCATTTGTTTCCAGTTGCTATTCATTCTTTTAATGTCTGCTTTCAATGCCCAACACAGTGTGCTCTTTGGACTTTAATTTTTTCGTTTCCTTTCAGTATTCCAAGTTAGTGCTTGCCTCGTGATTCAGTTTGATGATTTCTTCAATGTATGTCCTATGCACTTCCAACGTCTTTTCCTAATCTCCTCTTTAACTGAAAGTTGATTTGTTCTCTCCTACAGTAGAGTGTTGCTGATGGTATCCAATCAACGGACATTAAGTATTTTGCATCGATAATTGCTTATAAGTATTTGTACCTTTTTGATGATGCTTGTTATAGTTCTGCATAACTTATCTAAGTAACAAATCATGATGTGTACTAAACTAGGAAATTTAATAGTATAAATCTAAATAACAGTAATTTGGAATAACATTATTTTCTATTCGATTCTCATCTATTTTTATTATTTATTTAAACACACACATATTGGTACAAAGGACAACCAGGGGAACCCACCGGGCAGCTGGTTTCCTTAGGGGACCACACCATGAGCCTTTGATCTAAAGGTCTGATCCGCAAGACAGTGGAGCATCGTAAGGAGATGCAATCTCATGGTAGCCGGTGACCAACGAATGATTCATATGCCATTGTTCCCTTAGGACACTGGAGCCCATGTGCACCATTGGTTTGTAATCAGGGTTTTCCAACTCCCCTAGGTGAACTTTCCGTGTCCACCAATCCTGTTAAAGTGCTAGACATTTGATTTTCGTCCTCTCAATTTCGTAAACAACAATAATGCCACGAGAAAGCAGTGAGTAGGACTTCCCTGGTAAAGGCTATATATGCGTGGCCATGTGAGAGCATTCCTAGAGGGAGAGCGTACTTTCCCCACTCTCGGTCGTACCACGGCATTTGGGGGCTTTAATATACAATAATATTAAACGTATCAAGACAATTTACGAGTCACTGATAATCATGAAAAAAAGATTAAACCACTAAGAGAAATTAATAAACAAGTACAAGTAGGAAGTGTTATGATAAGTGTATAAAGCTATGAATAGAATAATCAAGGCCTTAATCAATGTTTCATAATAGGAAGTAGATCAACAATTCGGATAAATAGACAACAACCTGATACGGATGATTAGAATTACATAATAAGATAGTCAATTGTGAATAGATAAATGCATGCTAATAGTTACTGGATCAGAGCTTAATAGCTTAATGGATAACGTCTGAAGAGAATGGTACTGGGTTCGAGTCCCAGAGTGAGCATCAACTTTGAGATGCCTGTACATCCAGTTGACGAGTCTGAAATAGGACGAAACGCACGTTAAGCTGGATTCCACTGCTATCTACTATCCATCTTTGTTTATAAAGTATCAGAAGTAGCATAAATAAATTATTTGATTACTAATACACATTAAAACTCCGACTGTAGCTCCTCCAGGAGTTACTGCCGGTCACAAGCCCGGGTAAAGGAGGAGGGTTGGGCATGGGGTTAGCGATCCCATCCCGTAGAAAATCAACTCGCTAAAAAAACGCTAACCAGAAAAAATCATTCAAACCATTCAAACTCTGCCCTGGGAGTAGAAGGAATAATTATGACATCTCATGATGAAAGCCGAGTTCCTTCGGAAGTCATGAGGCCGATTCACCTTCTTACAACCAGAGCAACAATTTTTATAAGTACATGGAATATCCGTACAATGTGGAAGACCAGAAAAGTCTCCCAAATTTCTGCAGAAATGAGAAAATAAAACCTGGAATCAGTGAAACACATTGGACGCAAGTTGGACAACAACGACTATCTTCAGGTGAACTTTTGTTATACTCCGGTCATGAAGAAGAAAATGCCCCATATACACAAGGAGTTGCATTGATGCTGTCCAGAAAAGCACAAAATGCACTTATTGGATGGGAATCTCATGGACCAAGGATCATCAAAGCCTCCTTCAAAACAAAGAGAGAGGGCATTAAAATGAACGTCATCCAATGCTATGCGCCTACCAACGACTACGATGAAGACACTAAAGACCAATTCTACGATAGGCTGCAGTCGATCTTCGAGAAGTGCCCAACCAAGGACCTGACCATTCTGATGGGAGATTTCAATGCCAAGGTTGGAAAGGACAACACTGGATACGAAGACGTCATGGGACGACATGGACTGGGAGAAAGGAACGAAAATGGTGAGAGATTTGCAAACCTTTGTGTCTTCAATAAACTGGTCATAGGTGGTACCATATTCCCATACAAAAACATACACAAAGCAACTTGGATTTCACCGGATCACACTACACAAAATCAAATTGACTATATCTGCATCAACAAAAAGTTCAGGAGGACGATGGAGGATGTGAGAATCAGAAGAGGAGCTGATATAACATGCGGACGTCTGATCAAGATACCAAAGAAAGGCGATCTCAGCAAGTGCGACAACTACAGGGGCATCACTCTCCTCTCAATACCAGGAAAAGTCTTCAACAGAGTATTGTTAAACAGGATGAAGGATTCCGTGAAAGCCCAACTTCGAGATCAACAAGCTGGATTTCGTAAGGATAGATCGTGGACAGATCAAATCGCAACTCTACGTATCATTGTGGAACAATCAATCGAATGGAATTCATCACTCTACATCAACTTCATCGACTACGAGAAAGCATTTGATAGCATAGACAGGACGACACTATGGAGGCTTCTTCGACACTACGGCGTGCCTGAGAAGATAGTCAATATCATACGGAACTCCTATGATGGACTAAACTGCCAAATCGTCCACGGAGGACAACTCACCGA